TCCATAGACATAACAAGGAACAGGCAGGTGTATCTTAAAGACAGGGTCAAAAGGACAGCATGCTGGATAGATCTGTTTGTCTGAAACAACATGATCAAAGGGGAGACAGCACCCTAATGAGCCAAGAGGCTGTATCTCAATACGTCAATAGGGATGAGTAATCTGTCCTGTAACTGTATAAAAGTAGGTCCCGGAGTGCACATCTTTGTCTGGCCTAGGGGGCAGTGGAAAGTCCCGCCGCTGACTGAGCCGGTCCATTGCCAGGGGGCACAAATTCGTAGGATGTCTTGTGGAGTCTATGGGAAACTATTACTGTGCTTCATTTGACAATAAACCTGGCTCAGTTCCTTCGTACCTTTCTAGAGTCTGTGGTCTTTGGAGGTTCTCTCGGGGTCTGCGGTGTCAGCGATCTGCGCAGAGCCGGGGCAGCACACAGAGGGAACACGCACGCAGCCGACTGTTATCATCATCGAACAAGAGCAGAGCACCACACTGGTAGCGTCTGACGACATTGGTGACCCCGACCTCTGATCTGGTGAGTCAGCGAGCTGTCCGCTGTAGGACTCGCGATCTAACATGGCAGAAAACCACGAGCTAGGGAACCCCCTTTTCCCCTCCCTTCAAATCCCCCCGGAGTTTGATAACTCCTGGACTCTCTGGATTGCCAGTAAAGGGGGTCCATATGAATTTAAAAAAAAGTGGGGAAACATGAACTGGCTTATGTAAAGCAATAGCAGAAACAGACGCTTTAAAGAATAATAATAAAAGTAAAGAAGCAAAAATTTTGCAAGTAATGTCTATGGCAGTACAATGGCTTTAACAGCACGCCGCTATGCTAGCCAGACAGGTAATGCAAAAGACCAGGGAAGTAAAAGCGGTAACCAAAACTTTAAAGGAAGCAACCCAGGCAGTCGAGCACTGGAACGCCCAAGCCCTTTTAACAGGGCAACAGGCAGTTCAAACTCATGATATGCTCGAGCGAATACAGCAGGAAAATAAGAGATTAAAAATAGCTGTAAAAAACCTGCCAAAGCGAAAGGTACCGTCCTCCATAGCTCAGCAAGCTTCAGGTGCTTTTACTGTACCTGAAGTGTGGGGACAGAAATGGAAACAGGTGGCCCTAGCTACATTAAAAGATGGGACATGGGACAATTGGAATGGATGCTGCAAAGGGGACATGTGGAATGGCCCAATTGAATCATCCTCTATTGACCCATGGGCAGGGGCTACAGCACCACATCCGCCACCTTATGATGAGAACCAGGTTATGGGCAAACCCTCCTCAAAACCTAGATCAATTCCAGTTAAAACAGGAAAAATGGGAGAAATTGAGGGAGAAACCCCTGCTGAAGAACCAGACCCCAATACTCCGCATGCACCCCAATTTACCCTTGATACTATCCCACGCACTGAGGGTCCACCACCATTGAGGCCACGGAATGCAGTGGAAACTGCAACAAAAAGACTGACCATTTAAGAGAACCATGGTCCTGTGGCAATTATGCAGAAAGAGAAATAAATCAGGCCCCTGATTATATAGAGAGGGAGAGATATCAGGCATCTAAAAGTACATACTCACCTCACCTGCCGCGAGTAAGCGGCTTAACTGCCAGACTCGATGCTTTAAAAATTAATGAGCTAACTGCACTAGCTGGAGCCGTCGGTCCCCCGCCTTCCGAGAATTTTAACGAATTAATGGCCTGGCTCCATAAATGCTCACAGTTATTAAAAGCTGTGGGAATTGACATGTTACAGGAACCAATTCTGGTACAAACACTTTTGGGACCACTGAACTGTTATACCCTGGGTTTTGATGATAATGTTACGCAAATGATTAAACGTGTGGTTCAAAAACATTTTAAGCTATCCAGTGAGTTAGCGATACTTAAAGGAATTACAAGAATGCCAGGGGAGGCTCCGGCAAAGTTGGCTGATGGAATAAAAACATACACTAGGTTAACAGCGGTGACTATGAATCTTGAGGATTTGAAGCAACTTGTGTTAGAGGCAATGCCTTCTGGGGCGTTCGATTGGATGAAGGCTTGGTGCGAGAACGGAGGTAGAGATATACCCTGGAATGAATGGATTGAAAAAGTGGAAACTGCAGTTAAACAACAGGAAGGAACTCCTGTCAATGAGTGGCGAACACAGTTAGGACAGTGGAAAACAGAGGGTCCTGGATACTCTCCCCGCGGCCGTGGCCGGGGTTGGAGAGGTCGCGGAATGAATAAAGGCAGAGGAGGAAATGGAGAGAGTGAATGGGTAACGCCTGGAGTTTTGAAACAGGAAAATTTAGATCTTAAGGGAGAGATTGAGAAGCTGCGGGCACCATTGCAGGCACGTATGATCGGCAAGGAGTCTCGAAAGGAGGAAGATAAGACAGGAATGAAGGTAGCTCAGGCGACGGTCTTGGCATCTGGACTGAATGACCTGATTGTCACTAATTCAACAGAATAGGACAGCCCTCCCTGTAACTCGGAATGCATTTTCCAGCAACCCATGACAATAGATGTCTGGGGACACCTCTACTGAAGCACTGAGTTGGGCATGGGCTTGTAGATTTTCTATTGAACACAGGAGCTAGAATTCCGATAGTACAAGATGAATTTAATGTATATCCA